GGCAATGGCAGGGGGGGACTCCCCCGTCCCCTTCCCCAGGGCAAGCAGCCCTGTGCCGGGGGAGCCAGGACAGACGGCTCCCGGCAGCCCGCACGGACACGGCCCCACGCAGAAAGCAGCACAAAGACAGAGCTTGGGGGGCCGGCGCGGGGATGCGCACACGCGACAACAAGGGCTGCAACGCCTTCGTCTGGAGCACAAGCAGCGTCCCCTCCAGCGGGGACCGGGCTCGCTGCAGAGCCCTGCAAAGCCTCAGGACAAGCACGCCCTTCCTCGCCTCCCACCGCACTCAGCTTTTGTGGGCTTCTGCCTCACTGCTGCGGCAAAATCAGAGAACGAGAGAATCATGGAATCAGTAGTGCTGGAAAAGACCTCCAAGATCATCAAGTCCAACCGTCAACCCATCACCACCATGCCTACTAAACCATGTCCTCAAGGGCATGTCTACATGTTTTTGAAGCCCTGTGCAGGGATGGTGACTCTACCACTGCTCTGGGCAGCCTGGGCCAATGCCTGACCACTCTTTCAGGAAAGAAATGTTCCCTAATACCCAATCTGAACGTCCCCTGATGCAACTCGAGCCTCTTCCTCTCTTCCTCCTGCTGGTTACTTGGGAGAAGAGACCAACCCCCTCTCACTCCCCCCTCCTGGCAGGGAGCTGTACAGAGCGAGACGCCGCTGGAGCCGCTCTGGGCCCCGGGCAGGCGCAGACCCCTTCTCGGCAGCACTGCTGCTCAGCACCTCGCCTCGCATGCTGACCTGCCCCGAGCATCGTCCTTTTCCCAAAACTCCCATCCCTGGGAGCAGCTGCAGCATCTCTGCCCACAGCTCTCGGGGCCACAGACAGTGATTCTGCTGAAGGGAAGGAGGAAAAGAGAAGAAAAGAAAAATCCCCCCACCCAAACATAAAGGAGCCTCAGTGCCAGAGGACGAGCTCTCCCCTGCCGAAGCTGCTGCAGAAGCCCTTGGTGCCGTCAGGGCCATGGGGCAGGCGAAGCACCCCATCCCGCAGGCCAAGGGGCTCAGGCACCGGCTTCGCTGCTGCGGGATTACCGGGAGAAGGTTTGGCAGCTGGAGAGGGGCTTCTGCTCCAGGGCACCCAGGCACCCGCCCCGCTCCCCCAGGCGCAGAGGGTCTCGGTGCTGGAGCAGAAGCCGGAGCAGCTGCCGATGCTCAAGCGTGTCCCGAGCGGAGGGAAGACTTTGCTGGTGAGGAGCGATCCAGTGAAGGTGTTGAAGTCGATGGGCTCGAAGTCGCTGCTGGGCCAGGCAGGTGCCCAGGGCTGCTTGTTCAGGAACAGGCACGGAGATGCCGGGGCACCCTCCGACTCCAGGGAGCTGCAGAGCAGGGAGTCCCCGATGCTGTAGGGGAGGGGCGCGGCTGGCCCCCGG